CATTGATATTCTGAAATGTCTGACATTTTGTAACGAACACTATTTATAGTTAATTAATCGATGCAGTTATGCTTGTCAAGAAATGACCTGATATTTTGAAAGCTAGTTAAAACTTGATCAACTTTTATATACACCATTTATTTTTATGTTGCTTCACTCTGTAGTAGAATTCAAAATTGAGCTTCATCGAAAAGAAATTCCACACCAGCTTACATTTTCTAAATAGTTCAGCTCGACTCAAAGGTAAATCAATTAAAATTTTACCGATAGTAGACCTAACTATTCTGTACCTATAATAGAAGTTTCAAAGAATTTTTCATTGCTATTGACCAGAAGTAGATGCTGAAATGAAAAAATAATGAAATTCAATAACGCTTAGTCACAATATAATGTTAATGATCGATATTAAGCGTTTGCAAAGTATGTAAGTCCTTCAAAACGAAATTTATAAGAAAATATCTGTTGACTTGCATTACTTTGAGATATTCGATTACATCAATGCTTTGTAACCAATAGTTATCTTGTTTTTCCATTTCGATTCATGCCGATATCAAGTTAACTTGAATATTTAGAACGTTTACTAGGTTGATATTGCAACCAATTATATTCTTCATTGGACACATTTCTTAAATTTTTTTTTCAATGATAACTAATTTTCGTTCATGTATTATCAACATACGACCGAAAATATCGACTTCGTATAGTTTTCGGACCATGAAATATGAGCTGATTCTAAACAGCAAGACTCGATGGTTCAATAGAACTTATGAGGAAACAGTCCCAATTGTCCATTGGTTTTTTTGAACGAAGATATACTCAAAAGGCAGACCTCAGTGAGTTATTAAATACCTACAATGGTGTGCTTTTTCGGGTTTTCTGAGCAGAGATATATAATTTTTACTGTTACTAGTATTACTATACTAATATATTTATATCTTTGATATTTTCACTGAAAATGCTCTGGCCCGGCTCAAATTGATATTAGTAGTAAGCATATGCGGGCCGGCCTGCAGACGAAGGGAGCAATTGCCTCCCCTGAAAAACTGGTGGAAGGGACAGGGGAGGCGGCCAATAAGGTTTCATTGTCCAAGCACTGATAATTTTTCCTTTTGAAATTATCGCGCTATATGCTGAGGTAAAAACCTGCCTATCATTCAGAGACGTAAATAACGAACAATCAGCTTCAGTCTGTCTTCGAAAGTGTTCATAAGTGGCTTTTCAACAGCTAGCTAGAAACGTTTTTCGAGAAAACTTTCTAGAAAGCGTTTTGTTTCGCACAATTTGTTTGGATCATTAGAAAAATTGTTGCTTCGTAAGTAAAGTTTGCTCAATAATTCTCAAAATGATAATATATATTTTATTTTCATTCCGGCATACGGGCTTCTAATTTTAAGCATGCTTTCGCTTATTTTATTCTTAAGCGACGAAGACTATGATGATTGCTCCAAATTTACTGTCCAATCCCGGTGCCGAAGAAGGATCTATTGTTGGATGGAATCAAACTAGACCTTCGACTGTCATTGTTGATTCAAATGGAGCATTCAATAGCGATTATTATCCACATAGTGGATCTTATTGTTTTGCTGGTGGAAAGGAATTGAATGATTCACCGTCAGGATTAATTCAAAATGTAAAACTTGTTGGTGGCGTTCAAGGTTTCACGGAAAGTCAACTTGACTCATATTTTTTCAGAGCGGAACTCGATTTTTATTATCAAACTTGGGACAGCTTTTTTATGCGTCATGATCAAGTGGAAGTTAGTTTGACATTTCGATCGTCTTCATCTTCTATATTGAACACAGTAACTACAGGAGAACTTGCTTGCAAGACATCAAATCCAGGATGGTGTCGTTATATCAGGTTGTTTCCGTTACCAAGGGGCACACGAAGTATTGATTATACAATTACATTCATTCGAAAAGATACGGGAGGCTCGAACATCGACTCCTATATTGATGATAATTCATTGAGAATCATATAAATGATTGCTTTTTCTTTTTTCACACTGATAAAATCATTCTCTTATCAAAGCTATTTTTTGCCAAGATATTTTCAATAAATCATCGTTGACACTCAATAAGAAATATTTCCAAAAGATTTGAATCGCAACTCATCAAATCCTATTGCTACTTTGTTTACGTACGGAGTGTGGGTGTCACTGAGCACAAAAGCTAGACGCAGTCCCACGCTATCAAATCCTAAGGTTTTGATTTATAATAACTCTTGAAAAATCTAGTAGTAATCATAGTTTTAGTGAAGGATAATGACTGAAGTCAAATGTACGTACCTTGCGTTAATATTTGCGCATGCTATATAGATATTCGATGCGATAGTTAATTACGCAATGTTAGATTTTCTTGTTCTTTATCTTTTTTTTTTCTTTTATGAATTTTCATCATGTTTAAGTGAAATTGATTGAGAACTTGTATAATCTTTATAATTACTTTGTACACGTAAAGAATTTTTGTTCATAGGCAAATGTCGTTGAAATGCAATGTTTTTTGCTGGATAAATTATATACGGAAGAAAAATACACATAGAAAGGAAAATATCTATAGAGTTGAGAAACAAATAGTATAGATGTACGTAGTTATTATGTGTCATTTTTTTATAGTACGATTCTTTGGATTCATTTGACAAATACTTAAGTTCTATTAAAATAAATGTGGAAACCTCGGATTTAAATCCGAGTGTTATGTGTATTTCAAAAAGTAAAAACACAGAAGCAATTTCTGTTTAAGTATCTTTGCAATAGGTGACTTAGCCTTCTTGTTTCTTAATGTTTTATATACCATTTTGTAGCTCGTGAAATTCTCTATCGAATGGTATATAATAGTTGGAGTTTTATTTGATTATGAGAGGAAAAGTTTTTTTACGAAAAGCGGGATAGGTCAATGTTCGCATAAAAAAGCATAGGGAATAATGGGGTCCGGACAGTTGTGCGCGGACAGTTGCTCGCTATAGGACCATATGTAACTGTTATAGCGAGCAAGTGTCCTAAACTCGGAAATAATGACTCTTTTTGCGATAACTCAGCAATGGCTCCACAAATCATTCTCATCTTCGAACTCGATCGAGATATTGATGAGACGAAACTGTGTAGAAAATTTCATCGTGATCGGACGCTTCTTTCGAAAGTTATCGTGTAAACGGCTGGACGGCCGGACACACTGACCGATTCTATAGTGTACTCACTTTTTGAGTACACAAAAAGAACAAACAATAGTGATGGTACACACAATATTGTTTCAAATCACAATAAACAAGTTTCATTTATACGACAAAAATTTTTAGAAGTTGAATGCTACAATAAATAATGTTCATGTCAAGCTTATTCTTTATACAAGATTTCTATTAAGTTGATGGTTCATCACTAATAACTCGATAGTTGAGCAAATTACATTTGAAAATACTATCCTTGCTTGTTAGTATTAGACTATTTTATGCAGTACATGTGTCTGTATCAGCCTGATTAAATATAAAAACAGATGAACCAGAAAATTTTTGATGATTATACGAAAAATTAAGTCTTGCATACATAACCAGCAACAGTTAAATGGCAACACGTGTTCGGCTATGATTAGGCATGCTGACTCTATATGAGTACCGAATTGAAAACTTACACCAAGTTCAGGTGTATAATTACCATTGATTCTATTAGTGTATTCATCTATCATACACTCATCAGATAGTTTTAATATACTATCAAATGGTTCCTTGTTAGAAATTTAAGGTATTTGTTGATAGATTATGTTTTTGAAAGCATGACAATATGGGCTACAATTATTTCCATGATATACAATGGAAAATGCTAATAAAATAATAGCCCTTTGTTATATGATGAAACATTCGAAAGGATTCATCAATTAATGCTATATTTTTGTCTTTTAATTCAATCAATATTAGATATAGTTGAAATTTTATAAAAAGATAATGATATATCTATTCTAATAATAAGATTATTAAAATTAATATTTTTATCTTATGTAAAAGGTAAAAGTAATTGTACATTATTACCTTTACGTTATTAGAATATGAAAAGAATGATATTATACAGGCATATTTTCTAGTAGACCAACAGAGATACAAACGATTGATAAACGTGAAGATATACCATGAAGAAATATGATCACATAATCTTTCAATATTTAAATATGGTTCAATAAAATATATATGATCTAAAAGACAGTCATGTCATAATTTATGTAAAATATGACGATGGAAGCATATGTCATAATTGATTGATTTCTCTATACGTTAATCGCATCTAAACGTATGATGTCTTATACGGTTATCGTATATAATCATGTTCTTTCAACCTGAAAAATATTTTACAACACTCTTTATTTTCTGTATGCCCTAGAGTGCGAGTGTGGGGTGTGGCTGTGGATGTGAGCGTGAATGGGTGGGTGTTCTCTATAACCACATCCACACTTACACCCACACCCACCCCACATCCACACACCCACACTCACACCCACCCACACCCACACCTACATCCACACCCACACACCGACACCCACCCATACCCGCCCACACCACACACCCCACACAAACACCCAGACCCACACCCATACCCAAGCCCCACACCCACACCCACAACCACCCACACCACACCCACCCACACCCACACACCCACCCACACCCACACCGACACCCTCACTCACAACCACACTCACACCCACATACCCACACCCCACACCCTTTATCACATGGAGATAATCATTATGTTACAAACAAAAATTAAAGAAGCATTTTAAAAACCAATTTGAAATATTCTCGTAATATGACTAATTAGAAAATCAACTAATAATGATCAACTTCGATAAAGATTTTTTTTCTTATCTTGTTAACTATCATCATGACTAATGTTCGTTCTTTCATTCTGCATTTCGCATGGTAGTGAAATTATTCTTTGTTATTGCACAATTCTTCTTCCTATATATATGTATATAAAAGTAGTGCTTTTGTTTTCATGCATTCGTTTTCTCTCTTACATAATGGCTTGTCTCGTACACAATCCAAGATATCGTTCCTTATTTCATGCTGTTGTCAATGAAATTCGACAACAAAATTGTATACCTGTATGTAAGTTGCGAAATATGTCTCGCCAATGCTGTACATGCAACATTGTTGACCAGGAATCACCAACAAGTGTTGCTATTGATTGCAAAAATAAAGTAATGAAATTAAAAGTTCTTACCGATAAAATAGATCGAGATAAAACAAGTGATCCCAAACTTTGTCTATCATTGTACAGATTAGAAAAATGTATAAAAGAGAATTGGATTTCACGTAGATACGTATTATCAACATCAACTGTTGATAAACCTATAAGAAAACTTGATAATGATTCATCTGATTTTGAAGAAAAGCAAATTATGGATGTTCGAGGATCTATGCTAAGAAGAAACAGAAGCAGTAACTTACGAGAAGCACTTAAAGATGGAAGATTTCTTTATTTACCATATAAACTTGAAAGAAAGTCAAATCTGGATTCACTAAATGAAGCTGCAAAAAAAGTACAACGTAGTCGATTTCTCGGTAGAAATGGTTACATCGCATCTTTAGAAAAACAGCACAATATTTATATCAATATGATAACATTGAAAACTACTAAAGCGATTATAAGAATACTCAAAAGTGCGAAAGCAGGCAAAGGAAATGTAACAATTCATAATGCAGAAGATCTGTCAGAGGTCGAAGATGGTGAATGGTTGTTGGTTCGCGCGAGAATACGTGAAGGGAAAGGAAATGAAGTTGATTTTGATTCCATAATGGAAGAACTCACACTCCGATGGGATTGGTATTTGAAACAACTAATGAAAAAGAAAATGTGATGAATGCAACGACGACGATCATTCACGGAATAAACTAGATTGGTGCTTTTGTTTAAAAATTTTCTTTGTAATTTTAGTAAATATTTTCGATTGAATATTTATCAATAAACATATCTATATCTTCAATATAAAATTTGAGAGTGTGGATATGTTTCTCGTATTAGATAGATTCAAAGCATCATATAACGTTTCATCCTTGCTAAAGGTTTTAATATCTAAAATATAAGAGTGTTGAAATTCAAAGCATTCCACAACCCGTTGTGATTGCTTGAGGTGTTGGATGCTTGCTGTTTGATGTGGTGGAGGACTTTTTTTCTTTGCGTTGCTTCATATTGAAGTGTTTGGGCCGGGTGTGGGTGTGGGTGTGGGCGTGGGTGTGGGTGGGTGTGGATATGGGTGTGGATGTGGGTGTGGTGTGGATGAAGAGAAGAAATTCGCCCACACCCACACCCACAGCCACCCCACCCTTAGTTTCTTTTTCAATAAATGTTTTGAATCGTAGGTATACATGCATGTATAGATAGTTTATTTTGAGTTATTTTTTGTATGAGCTGTCTCTTCTTGAAAATGATGTTTTTTAATAGTGGAATATTTAATATATTTATTTTAATATTGATGAAATATATCCACAGAGAGGATAACCGAACTCAACAAGCTTTTTTTTACCAAAAAAAAATCAACTCAAGCGTCAAAAAGCTTAAAAACTCCTACTTTCCGAATTTTTTTCGGAATTAGCCAGATATTTTTTCCGAATTTTTCCGAATTCAGGCAAATGAATTCCGATTTGTAAGATTTTGGTCTGGCAACCCTGGGTTGTGCGTAAATCGATTGAAAACAGATCGATTAGTCTTTTGACGAAAAAGACATGTTTCATCTGCTACTCTTAACTTTGGCTTCTCAGCAATTGGTCTAGTCCAAACTCAAGTTAAGATTGAATAATAATAAATAAATGTGCTTCAATTGCAATGATCGAACAGCAATGCAAAGTTAATTTTACCCACGCGTTTCTTTTTTTAAATTTTAATATTGGACTACTCATAAGAGATCTGCATGACATTTTTAAGCATGAACAGTAACAAAAACAATCAGAAGACGAAAGTATGAACTGAAGAAAAGTTTTCAAAGAATTAAAAATCAAAGGAAGATGAAAAATTGGAAAAGTAAAAATTGATTAATATTTCCTCTTTTTTTTTGTAAAACGGTTAGAATCTGCATTTTGAGAAAATATTTACAGATTCGTCTGAACATATCTATACTTCCATTCAGATCCTTTAAACTATCAATGGAAGTTTAAAGATTTATAGAAAAGTCTTTTCTATACAGAATTTCGATGCTTCGAATAAAAATCGATTTTACCTAATGAACTCTCACTGACTTCTTTCGAATTTGAAATCGACAGATGAAAACTTTCATAAAATCTAGCCTATTAGAAACTGCAATTACGTTTCACTATAGACAACTTCTTTGATTTTTTCTCATAGAATTATAAACAATTAGGATCAATGACTCTGATAGAAAGAATGATGATACTACATAGATGGAATAGATCTCTAGCTGTTTAAATTCAAGTAGTTGTGTTTATTTGTTTCTTCAAAACGTCATGTTAGAGAAGATAGTCACTGATTTTCATTTTCAAAGGAGACTTTTTAGGTATGTAGGAAACCGAAACATTTAGCATACACTTTGATTTAAGTTTCATTTTTATCAGAATGAACTTATTGTTTATTTTCCATAGCACATGGTTACTGTCATATTTTTTTTTGGTAAATTTAATCACTTTTTGTCACTTAATCAAGTCCTTCTGATAAATTATCTTCATGTAAATTAAGGTGCGCGTAATGCAAAATTCGAGCAGAAAACAAATCTAGATGAATTATATATCAGTCGATAGAGCTTTTCGCGCTGATTCAGAATATATATCTTTCA